CCAGATCACGGTGCCCGCGCCTGGCGCGGCCCTCGTCTCTTTTCCGATGCCGCACAAGCGGCGGTCGACCCAGCAGCCCCGCAGACGTTCGCGACGTCCATCGTGACGAAGACAGCGAACACCGTGACGGTCGACCCATCGGTTCTCGCGACATCGAACGGGCAGAGCGGCAAGAACCGCATCTCTTCAGGCGGCACGAGCCAGGGAGGCGCGAACGGCGCGTCGGGCATGACGGGCTTCGCGCCTGGTGTTGCGGCCTTGGCAGGCGTTCTCGGGGGTGTCGCGGTGTTCATGCGAGCGCTCCACTGAGCTGTGCCCACGGATGATTGCCCGCTAGTCTTGTGGGGACTGTGGGATGAGTACGTCTTTAGTTTATTGTATATCATGGCAGTTAATGTACATCTTGACCTAGCTTGTCGCTATGTAATCACGTAGCATTGTTGAGGTGTGTACCCGTCCGATATACGGCGGTGTCGAGCACAACGCGGAGTGAGTTGGCTTGAAGGAGGCCTCGCGCGCCCGTGAACGCTCAGGATGTCTTCGCGAGCTACTGGGCCGGGACGCGCGCGAGGTGCGTGCTTTCGCGCGACTCGGGTGACGAGTTGGACGCGCATAGGCTGGCGGCGCGACAGGCGCCGGAGGGGGCTGCAGGCGGCGAGGCTAGTCGGTGGAGTACCAAAGTGAATTTTGTCGACGAGCACGGTGGACGCTGGTACTACGACGGGGAAGGGGGGGAGGGGATCTTACGAAAGACAGGGGACGAACTTGGTCGGGCATAGGAGACTCGGAGGACGGCCATGTTATGGAGCGGTAAGGGCGGACTTGTTCGTGTAGTTCGTAGCGTATAAAATATATTTCTGTGTCCCATAAACCCTGCGTGAAGTCTCCAGCACGCCCCTCGCATCGCGGAGGAGGGCCGCGCCGCAGAGCGACTCCGCCGCGGCGCCGCGAACGTCGAACGCGGTGGGTTCAACGAGCGCCTATTCTGCGGATTTGGCGCGAAGGAGTGCGTGGGCGCCTCGCACTTGCTTCTTGCTGCCGTACTCTGTGGTGCTCGCCGGGCAGCGCATCCCGTCCTCCGCGCGGAACAGCTGCACCGAGTGCAAGAACTCCCCCGTCCTCGTAGCTCGCGCGACCTCGATGACACCACTGATCTCGTCTGTCTACTGCAGATCTCCAGATCTCGCACTGCCAGGCCGCGCCCCGCAACTCGGGCGCGCGAATCGCGATGGAGTACGTACCGTGAAGTCGCGAGCCCGCCAACGACCGGTACCATAGAGTCAGGTAGGCGGTTGCGTTGCGAGATAAGTACGTACCCCTTCATCTTTACGCGCATCTGTCAATTGAACACGTTGCCGTAGGCCGGCGGGGAGGGTTCGAAAAGAAAGCTGCGAATTGCGCCCTCAGCTAGATCGTAAGTCAGGTGTGTCGCATGCACAGAACTCGAGCGAGTACGTACCGTATTTCTCGTGTTTGCAGGGTTCAGGAGAGGCTTCGCGCACCTGGCTGCTCGCGACTGGGAGCAGTCGAGACCGTGCGCATGTAGTGGAAGCTTGTAGGCCTTTCTTCCAAAGCCGTGGGGGTCTGCGACTTGCAGCGACCTTCGACTGCGAGCCAGGCCCGTGCCGCGCCGGCTTCGCCGCTCTTACAGGAAACCGAGCGTCTGCCCGGACGTCCCGCCGCTGTCGCCGCCTCACATCATGCGGACCGACTCTGCCGCCGGGCCCAAGCCGTGTCAAGGGTGAGTACAGGCGAGCACATACCTTTCAGGTCAAGTCTCTCGTCAGACACTCAACTCGCGCCTCCCAGTCATCCCGCTCCGTCCGAGTGCCTGTCCGACAGAGGGTAGCCCGCACGCGTGGACGCGTCCTGAAACACGACGGATAATCGTCGTACTGCGACGTGAGATCAGCGGTGTGCACGACTGTACCGTATACGCAACCTGCCGGCGGCGCCAGCTTCGTTTTGTACCGCGAAGTCTCGTGTGCTGGGTACCGCGTGCACCGCATGGCACGAGTAGTCGGTGATGTCGTGGAAGTTGGGGACGGCGCAGCGGCGTCGCAGCGGGGCAATCGGCGGGAGAACCTGTCGGCAGGGGAGTTCGGCGGTGAAAACTTGGCAGGGAAGGTTCGTGGCAGCGCAGGCTGAAGTCGGCCTGCCACGAGAAATGAGTGCTGACCCACTTGCTACGACACAGACTGACGTACCTGCACCCCGTGCACGCGTGCGATTTCGAGGGATCGTCTGTGCCAGTGCCAGTGTGAGCATGCAAGCTTCGCAGGGAGAAGAGCTGAGACTCCGCCGCCGCCTAGATCACGCAAACTTCGTCAGGGATGTGGAGGGATAGAAGAAGGTGCGCATCTCTGGCCTTGTCCAGTCCCGGTATCGACGTTGTTGTGTAGTACACCTCATGCATGGCAATGCAGGTGGCGAGTGGAGAGTGGGGAAATGTGGACGAGTTCGCCGTACGTGTGATACCTCCGTTTCTTGCGCGTCTGCGGTCTGAAGCGAGGCCTGGTTTTGCCGGCCTCGCTGCTTGATGCAGGGCTTCTGGGCACCGGTCTCGAGCGGCCTGTGGTGCGAGCGTGGTCAGGGTCGGCGGCAGCCAGGTCTATCCACAGGCTGCAACCTGGGCTGGAGCCAATCTGTGTGTAATGCCGCCTGGTGGATCACCAGGGTTGATACAGGAGAACAGTGCCCTCATGCGAGGCGAGTGCTCCTGCTCCTTCCACTGTGTGCTCTTGAGAGGGTAGCCCTACTGTAATACTGCCTGCATGTATTAGAATATCACCGTGTTCATTCTCCAATAGAGTGGGTTCCACCTGTGTGCTAAGCTCAGGTCTTGCCCTCCATCTCAGCCAAACTCCGCAGCTCAGATGAAACAGATTAGTAGACTCGCGTGTACCTCAGAGGGCTCACGTATTGCCATGGATATCTTACACATCCGCATTTTCCAGCATATCTGATGTTCTGGATGTCTTCTCAGTTCTCATGGGTTGCATCAGCCCGTCCGCGCTTGCAAGCGGCGGAACAACCCTGGATCACTGTTTACGGCACCTCCGCACCCCCCACCCGCATCCAGACGGAGTGCGAGTGAGGGAGGTAACAATATGAGCAGCAGCACCCCTGCTCCTCATATGGATACCACCATCCTCCCAGTCAAATCCAGGTCGCAAAACTACATCTAGTATGCACCAGACCATCGTGAATATATTACACCGTGGCATTTGTATCTATATGTGTAACTACAGCCAGTGGACGCGCGCGAGCACCAGCGACACGGCGTCCGGGAGCATCTGCCAATGGCGGGAATGTACCAATCGAGCGAACATGCCATCAATCCAGCCTATCCGCATTGCCTAAAATATCTGTTAGATTATTGCACCATTGAGGCGGTGTGTGCGAGCGCGGCGGTTGATTTTGCGCGCATCGATCGGCGTCGCGGTGGAGGAGAGAGTGAGCGCGGGGACTCGGAACGAGAAACGCGGATTCCAAGCAGCAAGCGCCGGCGCGAGAAATACTCTCTCTCCCTCGGGTTTCCCGCGGCTTTCGGGCCGCTACCCGCTCGTCCAACTTACTGTGGCAATTTCTCCCGATTAAAATTCACCGCGAGGAGGGGCTATGGTCGTAATGGCGTGTAACAGAAAGTCGGAGGTTGCGCAAATTGCCGTGGGGAGGGAGGAATCGGCCACAAAGTTCGAATATCTAGACCAAGATAATCAGCCATAGCCGACGAGAGCTGGCGCCCACTCGCGCCGCGCTCTCCTGGACCATTTGTCGAAGATAGTCCGAAATGAACAAATACACCCTCAATGCAGCCCGTCAGATAGGAATAGAATATAAATGAATTTTGTGTTTGGTTTCGGAGGTGCGAGCGAGCCCGGGAAATATTTCGTGTACAGCCCAGGTCGTGGTGAAAGGCAGATGAGTGAGTGAGCGCGGCAAACGAGATTCAAGAATCAGGCGCCCGTGCCTGCTAGACGAGCTCCCGGTTTGGCAGCTGCCCCTTACTCTCTCTCCGCTACCACCACCGCTTCTCTCGTCCGCCCACCAACCCCGTCGCGGCGACACTTTGAGCAATGAGAGAAAACAGTTTTGAGATGTAATAGTGCCGTATATGCGCCTACAGCAAGTCTAAGGTACCAAATCTATGCGACGTCTACATCCCTAACTCCGGCCACACCAGCGGCAGACGTGCGAGCCTGAGCAGCACAAGTTGCATGTCCGTCAGCTCGGCGACCCCGCCCTCCAGCTCCGCCATCGCCTCTGCCTCGTCTGTCACGGTCTCGGCTGACGTCGGCCCGTCCCGGGGGTGCCTCGGTGGTAAGTTGTTCGGGTTTGACTTTGGGCGCCGGCGTTGCTTACCCAAATCGCTGCGATAGCGCTTTGGCGGAATGCCGCGGTGAAGCACAGCCGGGGCGACTAAGAGGGGGTCCCTCCTCGCCGCGTCGAGCTCGGCTGGGTCCGTGATCGGGACGAAGCGCATCTCGCCGCTTTTCCAGAGCTCAAGAAGGCGCGAGATGCGCTCCTTGCCCGTGATCCGGCTGAGGTTGTCGAAGATGATGTCGTCGGGCCAGCCCATGAGCTTCACATGGTAGCGCAAGACGACGCCGGTGCAGTACCGCCTAATGGCATACGCCATCTTCGCGCCTTGGACACCCGCGACATCCGCTGAGGGGGCGCCAAGTCAGCTCGAGTGTGCACGCAAACAAGTTGGCATGACTCACATATTCCACCGCTCAGCAGGCCCCTGAGCTCCCCCCGCAACTTGATCTCCATCCGAGCATAGTCGGCGTGGAGCGTGTCACCGTGAGCACGTTGTCCCGGCATCGTGATCGAGTGAGATATAGAGCTATAGCGGCATGAGACGAGACGGGCAGCTGAACAAGGATGCGCGGTACGTACTGTGGGTCGCACGCGCGCAGGGAGAGTGAAGCTGACCGGTAGGGTGACAGAGCGAAGGTCGACTGGCACTCAGGGCACTGGGGGTACAAGTATGCTCCGAAAGCGAAGGTAGCCGGCTACGATTGCCACGCGAAATCGGGGCTCCCAACCTTCCACGTTCCTTCTCGACTGCGTGTTGTGCGTGCCTCTCCAAGCGGGCACCGAACGCGTTCTGAAACGAGCCGCGAGCCGCGGTCGTCTCCCGTTACAGTGAGTTGTCTCGGTTGCATGCCGTCATATAGAACCTTGACTGATCATCTCCGTTGCAAACGGCAGCCCTCAGGAGTGCACCGCCTGCCGTCATCGCCGACAATTCCGTCGCATCCGGATGCGGCCGCGTCGTCTTGGAACGCGTCGCGTCTTTGCGGGAGGTGCTCCCGAGCCTCCGGCACGCAATCCCCGCCCGCCTGTACCACGCCCGGTCGTTCAGTTGACGGGAAATGGTGTTGTGTTTCGCGACGGCTGGTGAGCAGTTTTGAACGATGTCCCCTTTTGGGAGGGTACGAAATGGACGGCGAGGTCTCACGCGCGCCCGCAGCTGTCACACATCAAATTACGGCCCTTCGCACAAGATCTAAGCCTTCGCAGCCGCGCCTCCGCTCAGACGTGCTCAGCGCTCTTACATCGATGAGCCGACGCATCCTTCGTCATTTACGTGCGGTATTATGGTGAGCGGTAGGGTCCTTCCCGCATCGCCCAGAACATTCCTAACACTTTGAGCTCCTAGATCTACTTCCCTAGTTGCGCAATGCACGGCCATCAAGATCGCTAGCCGATAGTCGCGACCCAACCCGCCATGTACCGCAGCGTCTAGCTCCTAGTCATTAAGCCCTCACGCAGAACCGGCCGATGTATAGCGACAGGCCTCACGAGTTGGCACTCGCAGGCGGCACCACGCAACGTGTTCCCTCGTCATCGCCCGTCTCGCAAATCTTCGTCACGCTCGGTACACTTGTAATGAAATTGTAAGCAGTTTATCTTAGGCGTACCTCGTCATCCTTGCTCTAACCGGCACGACATTGTCCGCCGGGCGGGTGCATTCTTAGACGGTTTTGCTAGGCGGCGAGGTCGCGGACCCACGTACCCAATTAGCCACAATCGAGATCCTCGAAGCCTCGCTCGCCTAACATCGCTACGATACGCCAGAGTCCGTTGACCGCCGTTGTAGTATCCTCCACTGCGCCGCGTATTCGACACCGCCTTCGTAAGTCTCGTGTTTTGACAACAAGCATCACCAACCCGATGCTAACTCAATCAGTATCTGCTGCTTATTCGCTCGCTCGCAGCTTTCGCTCCGCCGCGGCAGAGTGTCCCCGCCGCAAACTACGTGATGGCTTCGTCCATGTCGCGCACCCCTTGTGCTCCCACGACGAGACCCACGTACTACGGCGGCGCGCCGCATCGTCAGTGGTATCGTATGCTGCGGCCGGCTCAACACGGTACAGCGGCGTGGATGGGTGCCCACACTTCCGTATCCTCGCGCGGCGAAGTGCATTCCGGCAACACGGGTTGAATCTGCATAAGGTGCATTCGTGGAGACAGGCGCGTATTCAAAATATATCGACATCCTCACGCAGAATATGGTCTCTAGAACGTGGGCTCGCAACGGCTCAGATCACTGATTTGTTTGTTGTCGTGTTGCCCACTTCGGAGGTAGGTATGTGCAGCCGTGGCGTCTAGTCCCTCCTTCGCTAATTTGCATGCTTCCGCAGTCAGCATCGGATTTGTCCACCGATTAGGCCAACGCGGCCACACACGATCTAAGTTGATGAGCCGCGGCGCTCCTTTGTGCCTCAATCAAGTGCCTGGGCCCCGGACGTACGTATGCATGCCGTGATCGAACTCGGAGGAATTTCCGTCCGTTGTCCGTTGTACGTGGCGAGTGGGTTCTTTCCTGCGCTAAAGTGACGTTCCACTGATACGATTGTTTGAGCAATATAGTATGAAGTGCCTCCGCCGCCCGCACTCGCGCTTTGACTACGTCACTCTCGCCAGCATGGCGAGCTCGAGAATGCAGGCGCGTACGGCGAGGTTCGAGTGCGCCGGTGGTGAGGCTGGGGCAGAATCGTGTCATTTGTGACTCGTCGGTCGACGCAGAGCAGCGGCACCGCATCGAGTCGACGCACGGGAGACGCCTCAGGTGTCTTCCGTATGACGTGAACGTCGGTCTGCTGGTCACCGCGGCGGGTCTTCCCATTACCGTCTCTCTCGCGCCGTACATCCGCTTGAAGGAAACCGCATGCCGGCCCCAGACGCGCGAAGGGTGCGGCAGATGCAGTTCTCTCATGATGGTACGAGTGGGCGTACCCGCGTCCGTTTCCAGAGTATCTGATCTGTGCGTGCGTTAATGCGCACACGCAGGTCACTGGACTCGTATCCCCGGAGGCGAGCCGCCGCTCATCGTGTCTTGATTCGGCAATAGCCATGTTTACAGGCACTCCGGCGGCGCGGGCGCAGCGTCTTTCGAGAAGCGACCCACTTCATGGTGTGTCCTAGCCTGCGCACGACCGACAGGCTTATTTCATTGATTCGTTGGATAACAACCAAATACGGGGCATACCCCCGCCGTACAACATGTAGCGAGCTCACGACGGAAGAGCCGGCGGACGGCCACGCGCTGTGACCAGTTCTTTCTGAGCGCTGCAAAAAAACGACACTGCATAGAGGCCCGATTTCGACACGCCATCTACCATGCCCACGGCGACGCCGTTGGTAGTCGTTCGGGACCGGGGGGCCGGCGTCGTCTAACACGATCCGTCTCTTCTCATTTTCTGAGCCTCGTCCGCGACCGTCCCCCTGGTACTTGTGCCGTGTCGCTGCCCCTCGCGGGACTTGCTGTTTTGCGCCGTCTCCGTGTATACAGTATGAACCCCACGGGCCTACCGGTCATATCGCCTCGACTGCGCCGCCCTTGCCAGTGTTATTCGGTGTCGGTCTGTAAGTTTCAGAACATGGATATGTAGATTCTAACCCCTCAAGCACGCCGAGTTCCCGGCCGTTCACCATGGCCGACACAGTGTTGCATCGCACTACGCCGCCCATGTTCCACCAGATAACGGGATACCGAACTCGCGCCCACAGAGCCACAGAACGCGATACATCGACATCAAGATCTCTGAGCGAGTCTAGACTTGTTCCATCAGCAGGGCATCGTCAACGACTCAACATCGCGAATCGCGAGATCGCGGGCTGCTGTTAGACGATCGTGTGTATGTGCGTTATGGCATCTTGCCGTTCCTTCGCTAACTAGCACGTTTCATCCGTTAGCATCCCGGTGTGTCCACTGATTGCGTGGTCGGGGCTGGATCCCCAAATACTCCGTCGCTAGCACTTGCCCAGGTCAACGACCGGCGGCCGACTCCGGTGTACGTCGCTCCGTATTGGCAGCGCAGTCACGGGTCAGTTTTTCTGTGGACGTGTCCAGAATACGGGTCTCGGCGCTGACTCGCTTCGCATGGGTTTCCATGTAGCTGTTTACAGGTACGTTGAGCAAGCGCAGCGCAGCCACCCAGCAGCTAGTGGATAGCTTGCACGATCCGCCCGCGTCCCAGGCGGGCGATTTGGCCTCAATCACACGCACTATGTCCTGCTGGAAGACACGATGAGGCACGCGCGCTGACTTGTGGTGATGACGGCGATGGAGGCGACTGTGTCACACCGCAACATGTCATTTTCAGAGCGTACAAGCGCGGCGGCAGCTACGTTGTACGTCGTCTAGTTCAGGGGCGGAGGGCAAAGTTATTGACCGATGTACAGGAATCTTCTGGTCACACGCCACGGCGCGTACGCGAATAGCAATACCGTCCGATCACAGCGGCAGCTCTGTGCATTCGAAACTCCCGTTGAATGGTGCTACACGACATTCATGGTGAGGACAGCCTCGCACGGCGTCGCGGCCCGCCTCCTCGTGCGTCTCCGCCCTGTGGTGAGTTCCGTACATTCTAAAGAGTACTAGCACTGCTCTGAAGTGCGGGTCCCTCATGTGTGGGCCACCGAGCAGTGTCCGCCTCGCCGGTCAGCAGTTCTCAACAGATTTCCGCCGCCGCCCGTCGAGACATTCATCAAACGGCAGAAAGGATGCCCTTTACGGCCATGAAACAGCGATCGACGCGGACTGTGTATACTGGGGAGCAGGTCTTTCGCCATCGGGAGGCCACTCCCCTGGTGCTTCAACCGAGCGATCGGTGTTCGTGGCGCGATGGGGAGTGGTGACCGGTGCTATCCCTCTGCTCGCGACGCGTTCGCGCGTCGGCTTGGAGTTCGTGTAGCTCGTGTACTAGTTACAATGCATCATGTTCCCCCGTTCGACAACGAGGCTCCGGATCGAATAGCTCCACTGCGTGGCCCGAGGAGGCGCGAGCATGAGGAATGCGAACGAATCGGACGCACGGGCAGATCTTTGTGCCCGCGAGCAGTTGTCTCGCGCGGCGCGGCTGGTATCCTCCTGAAACCGGAACACAGAAACCCGCGAAAATCCACACCATAGCTCGCGAGATCGTCAAGATGCCCGCCCACGGCCCAAGAGTCCGATCGTTTCTTCTGACAACCGGCAATCCGTTGTAAGCCGTCTATATACGTGTTTGAAATCGGTGTTTGTGTGCCCACGAGACGCAAATCAGGCATAATGACATGGAGATATATTGAAGCTGATTCTAATACAGGATTGTGTTAACGAGAGCGCGGTGCGTCCTCACAGACAGAGACCCCACGAAACTGGACCACACGGTCAAGAGCAAGCGTAGTCTCGTGGTCTGTGCACAACGAAACCGGACGTTCCGCCGGGTGTTGCATACGATCCTCACGCCTGACATAGGTGGAATAAGCCTACGGAAACTGCGCGGGCGGCAGACGCGGGATTTACGCACCTCGAGTCCGAACAAAGACGCTGCCGGATTGCAGGAACGCCCCGATCTCATCTTACGAAATGAGCAGGAGGCCGCATCATGACGACGCCGAGCGTCGTGGGGGCCAGTGCTTGAGGACGAGACTCGGCGAAGCATCTGGACGCGGGCCATCGGCGTCGTCTAATGCGAACGTCGATGCCGCAAGTCAGTGGCCCGATCCTGCACAAAGGAATAGGCATCCGCGGCGAGCGCAAACAGCCTGGGACACGTACCGTAGTCTGCAGGCGTGTACACAAGTGGGTATGGCGACCATCAGAGACCGAGGGCTGAAGCCCGACGAGAAGAAATGTCTGAAAGGATCACGATTATCAGTGTATGAACGAGCACGACGGCGCCACGTGTGACGGGACGTACCGGCTGGAGTGCGCTGGGAGCAGGCGCGATGTTCCGAGAAGACATGCCTGCGCGCGGACAAGGACTCGAGCGAGACTGGCGTATTGTGGACAGGAGCTCGCCAAGCGTGTACAGCGACCCCGGGCGCGGCCTAGAGGTAGCGTCAAGCGTACACATCGACGCCGCAAGTCCCGCGCCCCAATCCCGCGCAGCAGGGATACGCATCCGTTGCGAGACCGCGCGGCTTGGAACGAGAAGTGTGGTCCGCGGGCGTGTGCATGAGCACAGGCAGTGAGTACGAAAAATCGAAGGCTTGCGTTCGTAGAGAGGCTCCTGAAGATTCCGCTACAAGGGCGTCAGCGAAGGTGACCGTACCACAAGACCTGGCGGGACAGACCTGACGGGACGTACCTGAAGAAGAGCGTTGAAATCGCGTCGCAGACGTACGAGTGAGCCTCCTCTGGGCGCAGGATCGAGCTCGTCGCCGACTTGGACGCGATGGCTGGCGTTCGCGAGAGCGTGTAGCATCGTGCTAATGGGGAATGCACGCGATGCTCGGCTGGCGCGGACGTGCAGCGAGCCATGGTCCGCCGCACTTGTCGAGCGAGTCCTCGAGTCGCCGTGTCTAATCGCAGAGTCTCCTCCCCACGAGACAACACGCCATAATGGTGACGGCGTGAGGAACTAGTGCGGGCTGAGGGTGGCGAGGACGAGTATTGAGCGCTGAGCCCCATCTGGTAGTGGTGCATGAGAAATCGAAGAGTTTCAGACAGGCTAATTTGAGGGCGTACCTCGAAATGTGCACTGCGCGGACGTGCAAGGACGCGACGGCGACGAGCCGAATCTGAATGCCTGCTCCAATATCATGAGCGTCCTGTTCAAGGGCGGCAGAAGAACTTGGGCTCCAGTTCGGAATGTTCATTTAGCTCCCCTGCCGACGAGTATTCGCTACGAGAAGATATTCATCGAGTGCTCAACGCACCAGCAGATCGTTTGCGGGAGATTTCTCATATTATCGGAGTACATACAAGACGTTAGACGTGCGGGGGCGCGACACAAGCTCGAGACTACAGACGAACGGCCCCAGTAATCCAATTGGAGCAAAACGAAGGCGGGTACGCACCTTCCTCGTAGACACACACTGTCCGACACAAAATGTTTCCCCGCTTCCACAATCGCGACGTGCATATGCGTCGAGCGCACAGCACGTCCCCGGATGCGTCGTCTGGCCCACGATCCACAGCACGACGCGCAGTCCATGCCTCGGTCTGCGAGACGGCACGGCTGCTACTCCCGAATTCGCGTGAGTGTCGCGCGCAGACGCAGACGGATAGCTCACGTACTCACTATCCACTTCATTCGCGGAGCCACAAGGGCGCACGCGTGCGTGTACCCATGTTGTTCGGTGCGCGGTGGTCCCAACCCCGCGCAGAGGGGCGTCCGCACACCGCGAAGCAGGCTGCCCCTCGCCGCTGCGGTGGTTGTTCTCGGTAGCCTGCCATGCGCGGACGTATTCATGTAGGGCGTGCGCCGGCGCAGGATTCGCGAGGGGGACGCTCAGCGCAGTGCTTCGTCGGCGGGATGAGATGGTCTTCGTGCCTCGTCGGCGCGACGGGGAGGCCCTGCTGGCGGCATGAATTGTGTGCCCACGGCCAAGTGTGCACGACGTTCGTGGGGATCCGCCGTACAGCGTGGTCGCCGTCCGTGAACAGTCCCCGCGCGCATGGACACAACGTCGTCAGTGTCCTTCGAGTTTCGAGCGGCGGGCGTCGTGCTTTGTCTCTCTCACATCGCCCACAACGTCGGCGAACGTGCCCTTCGAATCGAAATGCGAACGTCCTTCGAGCCAGCGCGTTAGAAGCAGAACGTGCGTTCCGGACACGGACACGACGATGGGGCCTCGAGATACTGCACGCAGGACGTGTTGGGAAGACGATAGCGGGCGCGCCGGTATCTATTCCATGTGTGTACATGAAAACGGCAGACTACGAGATACGCCCTCGTCGTGCCGCGTGCAGTAGGACGACGATAGGAGGGGACAGAGAACGAGCAGCCTCGCCCCCAAGCGGGCAAGGTTCATCGCTGTGTGTCACGACGGTTTCGTGCTCGACCCGCCGCACCGCGTCGATGTGGAGGGCGTGGCCCCGCCGAGGGGCGTCGTCGAGCGTGGCTCGCCCCGACGTGCCCCGCCACGTCTAGACACGTCCGCTGCCCTCGCACTTTCGCTACGCGTGCTGCAGCCTGAATCCTTCGCCGAGCCCGCCGTTCTGCGTGGCCTCCGCCCACGGTGTCGGATCTCACGACAAAGTCCGCCTCGCGCGGCGTGGAGACACGGTGTGCTGACCCTGAAGCGGCACTTCGTGCGACAGTGCGCACACGCTAGCGGTTGGGTACGAGCCCGACGCGGCGACTAGACGTGCGGATGCGTGTGGGAGGGACGCGGATCGGAGATGCGCAGCGGCGGAGCACTGTGTACGGTACAGGAACGATCGCGAAATGCGAAACGCGAAACGCGGGCCGTGTATCGCCCGGCGCTCATCTGACACAAGCGTGCGGGGGATGGCGACGGGCGACGCGGGCGGGGAGTTACGAGGGCGGGGGTCGAATTGGGGGAGAGTGTACGTACATGTGTCCGTCCAGGATGCTGGGGCGGGAGCCTGCCCGGAACTGAAGAGGTATAAGAGGATGAGCAGGATGTAGGGCAGGATATCGGTGTCCACTGATGCTTGCCTTGCTTTGATTCTTGCTCTTCGTGCTCGCCGCTCACCGCTCGCTGCTCGGCGTCCGCTGCTCGACGTTCGCTGCACGCCGCGATCGTGGCCAGGTGAGTTTGTTCGTGCTGCCCGTGTCGTGGTGATACGGTAGGTGCTGACCACGACGTTGGCAGTATGCTCGACGTCGTGGAGGTGGCATCCGTGCGCGCAGAGCTCTGTGTGTGCGGGCACGTGGTGAGTGCACCATATTGCGCTTTGTACGTGCGTCGCTCACCGTGTTGCAGCGTACGGGTATGACGATGTGCGCGGGAGGCTCGGCTCGTGGGCGAGGACTATGGGCGGAGTCTGACGGTATCAGCATACGAGGCCAGCATGTAGCGCAATAGTATTTACGTGTAGGAAGTCATATAAACGGATTTTTACTGGTTGAATTCATGACGCTGAGGGCTACCGCGGACGGGGGAACGTAGTTGAGAGGGCGGTAGAGTGCCTGTGAGCGGCGAGAAGCAAACGTGAGGCTCCGGAAGGGCAGTCCCTGGGCGGCAGAGCACTGCAGGCGTGTCGCGGCAGCGGGTAGCGTAAGAAAACACGATGTGACGAACGTGCAGCGACGCTATATGCGTGCAAGCTGCGATGCTCGACGTCGAGAACGGGCGAGGTGCAGCGCAGGACGAGCGGAGCGGGGCAAGAGCACCTCGGAATACAGGCAGAAGAACGCAGAGAACGCGTCGAAGAGGCTCTGACAGCGGGCGCAGGGGTCGTCAAGCGAGGTGCATGGCGGCGCAAATGGCGCAGACACAGGCCAACCAGACGTAGACGAGGGCCAGATAGACGCGCAGACGCCTGCAAAAGGGCGAGCGAGCGCCGCTGAAGGAGCTGAAGAGCGAGTTTGAAAGCCGTCGAGTCGTCGTCGAGAGCAAGGATGTGGCGGTGGAAGAGCGCCCGAGCGCGCGATGACATCACGCGTTGCAGCGATGTTGCTACCCATCTAGCGCGCAGCCTCTGCGACCTTCCACATCCGTTCCCCTGGGTCCATCGCGAGCACGGCAATGCGCGCCGCGAACCCATCCGGGCTGGCAGTGTCTGTATCAGTGCGGCATGAGGCCAGCGCGCCGGCTGCCACATCCTCGGTATAAAGCACATCCTCCGTGATGGCGTGTTCAGCTTTTCTCTCCCGCAGGTCCTTCCCTCCCGTATACCCGTGCAGTGCATGGCCAGCATGTACGCGCCACTCGTTCTTTCTCTTTCCTGTCTCCTCGCCCCTCTTGTGAGCGCCGATGTCACCATTTACGGCCTATTTGGCCAGACGACCGCCGACCCGGGCGCATTGCGGTCAGGATCGGCAGCGGCGCCGTCAGCAACAGCTGCGACGACGACCTCCTTTGTGACGGTTCCGGGACCGCCTCAGTACACCGAACTCGCGGCGTACAACCCTATATACATGGAGCCGCCCGCAATTCCAGACCCTGCACCGCCGCTCCAGTTTGCCATCGGAGTGCCCACAAGCGCGCAGCTCATGAATGGCCTGTCTATACCCCAGCATGGTACCTTCTTCGGTTTCTCCATCGAAATGTCGGTCGCGAACCAGCTGAGTGAGTTTGATGATGACCTATATACTGCGTCGGTACTCTTGAGCACAGCTGAACAAACATGTTCTCGGCTGTCTATTCTAGTCGGCACGAACGGGTAAGCGGTGCTCTCTAATTTGTACTATTCTCGGTCGTGATGCTAAATTGGCTGTGGTGTTGCAGTACTACATTACACCCTCAATTCCTCAACCTCATGAACATCGTCGCTCAGAAGGCGGGCGCAGTTCACATACGTGTGGGCGGTAACACGCAGGAGACGGCCTTCCTGGTGGACACCCTGCCCGGTGGGAAAATGATGGAGAAGGACAAGGAAGACGCGTCCAACCCTGTACGTCCGTACGCCAGGTTGGGCGGCGACATCAATTAGGTTCTGATACGGACATGGGTTTGTTAGACATCAACTCCTGTTCTGGCATTTACGCCAGAGCTTCTGTACATGATGGCGAACGTCTCCAGTCTGATCAACGCCAAATGGTATCTAGGTACGTCCAACAGTGTCCACACTCACCTGTTACACAACTAACACGGGCACAGGTATTCCCTTCAACGACACGTCGAACTTCCGCTTCCAGATCGCCGAACAGGGAGAAGCCATCTTGGGCGACAACCTTCTTGCGTTCCAGGCGGCCAACGAGCCCGACCTCTACGGCCCGTATGTCTTGTCTCTGAGGACTGTATGTGTGTAGCGCCACTGACACCGCCTGACAGCCACGGACACCGTCCGTTAACCTACAGCCAGTTTGACTTCTTCGGCGAGTACGCCCTGCTTACGCAGGCGTACCAGAACGACACGTCTATTCCGGTCAAGAACAACTTGATCGCGCCGAGTGTGTCGGGCACCTGGACACCCGAGAGCATCTGGGACACCGGCTTCGTCGAAGCATACACGGAGTATCTGGCCTTCTTGGCTGTCGAAAGGTAAGGAAAGCGAGCAACATGGGCACATCGAAACTCACCGATGTATCTCCTGGTAGATACCCCACTGACAACTGCGCCGTCATCTTCCCGAACCCGAACAACCCGCCGCACGACCCGCTGCAGGAGCTCCCGCAGTTCCTGTCGCATCAGGCCGGCATTAACCTCGTGCAGCCGTACGTTAACTCGACGATGCTCGCACAGACGTGGAACAAGCCGTTCCTGATGTTCGAGACGAACTCTGCGTCGTGCGGTGGATTCCCGGGTATCAGCGACACGTTTACGTCTGCGCTGTGGGGTCTCGACTACGCCTTGCAGATGGCGAACAGCAACTTCACGGGCGCGTTGTTCCATTTCGGTGGTCAGAACGTCTCGTACAACGTACGTGTATTCAATGAGTTGAGTGAACTTACGGCACTGACAACCTCTTTATTGCAGCCCTTTACAGGTGATATCTGAGTCTGCTGATACACATAAGTATGGCGAGCTAATATTGACAAACGATAGCGGCACCCACGAACCAGTCGTCTTTCCACCAGTGGACCGTCGGTCCCATTTTCTATTCGTCGCTCTTCGTCGCCGAAGCGCTCGGCCAGACGAACACGTCGCAAGTGAAGGACATGTTCCCGAACAACGGCAACGATCAGACACCGGCGTACGCGATCTACGAGAACGGCAACTTCGCGCGGATGGCCCTCATCAACTACATGACCGACCCCACCGGTGCACACGACTATACCGCCACGATCTATGTCGGCGGGTCGGGCTTCAACGAGGACAACGGCGCTCCTGCCTCGGTGAAGGTCAAGTAAGTAAAGTACACGGCACAAGAGCGGCCGTACAGGTCCTGATTTACGTCCGCAGGTACCTCCGCGCCTCCTCTGTCTCCGAGAAGGACAACATCACCTGGGCTGGGCAGACAC